GGAGGTCCAGGCTATCCTGTCAGTGGCAGCAGGAGTTGGAAGAGAAGATAGGTTGTGTGCTGCTGCCTGTCTCAGCCCCAGTTCTTTCAGTGAATTTTTGTCATTGATGCTGGGATTCTGGACCACGCCACAAAAGATTCTCAGGACAACTAGGTTTAAAGTAAGTCAAGTGTCTTAATAATAGCCATGTTTATGATTTGGGTGGCTTTTTTTTCTTTATTAAAAATTTCCACCTCCTCCCATTTTCCTCTCACTTACCCCACTCCTCCTCCCTCTCCCTCTCCAGTCCTAAGAGCAGTCAGGGTTCCCTGCCCTGTGGGAAGTCTAAGGTCCTCCCCATTCCATCCAGGTCTAGGAAAGTGAGCATCCAAACAGACTAGGCTCCTAAAAAGCCAGTCCATGCAGTAGAATCAAAACCCAGTGGCATTGTCCTTGGCTTCTCAGTCAGCCCTCATTGTCAGCCACATTCAGAGAGTCTGGTTTGATCACATGCTCCATCAGTACCAGTCCAGCTGGTCTTGGTGAGCTCCCATTAGATCAGTCCCACTGTCTCAGTGGGTGGATGCACCCCTCGCATTCCTGACTTTCTTGCTCATGTTCTCCCTCCTTCTGCTCCTCATTTGGACCTTGGGAGCTCAGTCCAGTGCTCCAATGTGGGTCTCTGTCTCTATCTTCATCCATCATCTGATGAAGGTTCTATGGTGATATGCAAGATATTCATCACTGTGGCTATGGGATAAGGCCAGTTCAGGCACCCTCTCTGCTGCCCAAGGAACAAGCTGGGGACATCTCCTTGGGCACCCGGGAACCCTTCTAGAGTCAAGTCTTTTGCCAACCCTAAAATGGCTCCCTTAATTAAGATATCTATTTCCCTGCTCCCATATCCACCTTTCCTCCATCCCAACCATCCCATTCCCCCAAGCTCTGCCCAATCCTCCCTTTCTCCCTTCTCTCTCCCCATCTCCCCTTCCCCCCACCCCCCCACACCCATGCTCCCAACTTTTGCCTGGCAATCTTGTCTACTTCCAATATCCAGGAGGATATATATATATATATATATATATATATATATATATATATATATATTTTTTTTTTTTCTTTGGGTTCACCTTATTTAGCTTCTCTAGGATCACAAATTACAGGTTCAATGTCCTTTATTTATGGCTAGAATCCACTTAGAGTGAGTACATACCATATTCATCTTTTTGGGTCCGGGTTATCTCACTAAGTAAAGTGTTTTTATTTAATTTGGGTGGCTTTTTAAGAGAATTGTTCAGTGAAGTTTCACCCCTACTTATCCTTTTTTGTATTTGTTAAATGAGATCATTGGATGAGTCCATAGATGACAAGGGTTCAAGCTGTTCTTAATATACCAGGTTACAAGGGGTTAAGACATAACTTTTGAATGTCAAAAAGAAACCTTACTATCTCTTTGAGTTTTAGGTTTACAACTGGGAAAAGTCAAATTAAGGTCATCTGGTTAGTGTGGTTCATCAGTGTTAACATTCTCAATTGAAATCTCTGTATAAGATGATTATAGACTGTGTACTCCACCTTTATTGCTTTAGAATTCACAGCCCTTAGCTGGAGTTTTCACAACCAGACGTAATTTGCCTATTTTAAAAAAAAATATTATGCCTTTTTCCTCTTCTGGGGACGGTGCTTAGAGGCACTCAGAATGGTCCAGCGTTTGACATCCTACAACACAGCCTCCAACAAAACTAGGCTGTCTCGAACCCCTGGCAACAGGATTGTTTACCTTTACACCAAGAAGGTTGGAAAAGCACCTAAATCAGCGTGCGGTGTGTGCCCAGGCCGACTCTGAGGGGTTCGTGCTGTGAGACCGAAAGTCCTCATGAGATTGTTGAAGACAAAGAAGCATGTCAGCCGGGCCTATGGTGGCTCCATGTGTGCCAAGTGTGTCCGTGACAGGATCAAGCGGGCTTTCCTTATTGAGGAGCAGAAAATTGTTGTGAAAGTGTTGAAGGCACAAGCGCAGAGTCAGAAAGCGAAATAAATGTGCGGCTTTTTAAATAAAAAAAATTATTATTGCATAGGTATATGGTAGGGGGTGGTGGATACATATCTCAACATTCACATGGAGGACAGAAGGTGACTTTGTGAAGTTGGCTATCTCTTTATTTTTATATTGTTTCTGCCCCACTTATTTCATTTTCCAAGCGCTCCCCTGACATTTTAATCTATCTTAAGCCTTGGCTACATTATGAGATTTTGTTTCAAAAATCAAAACTAACAAGAATTTTGTCTATACATCAAATTATCACCAAAGAATAATATTGGAAACAGAAAAGAAAAATTACCATTTATTATACAAGGATCCATAATAAAGACTACCAACAGATTTTATAGAAGAAAATCTTTGGACACTAAAAGTCAGTGAGCTGCCACATTGAAAGTGCTGACTGAAAACAAGCTGGAAAACCCCACAAGTGAGAGAGATAATATAAAACAACATGGAAGCTGGAGAGATGATCCAGTGGACAATAGCAGCATACTTCTCTCATACAGGATCTGGATTCAGTTCGCAGCACCCACAGGGAATCTTGCTACTTTATATCACTCCAGTTTAAAGGGATCCGGTCCCTTCTTCTGACTTCCATAGGCACTAGGTATGTAATTAAATCCAAGAAAAACACATGTAAGGAGAAATTTCTTTTTAAGAAAATCTATTAGAGCAGTAAATGCTCTTATGAGACATCTCTCCAGCACCTGCATTTGACTCCTGTCCTTACAGTACCATGTGCTGTATTGGTCTGTAGGGACAGGTACATGAGGTAGGCATGCTAACTCTTTAGATACCAGGTATCTATACAGGGATCCGGTGTACCCACTTCTCTCTGTGAGGAGGGATTCCCCTCTGTATGCTGTGAATATCATTGGTTAATGAAGGAACTGCTTTGGGCCTATAGCAGAGCTATACGGGAACAGAACTAGGCAGGGAAAACTAAGCAGAATTCTGGGAGAAAGGAGGTGGAGTCAGGGAGAAGCCATGTAGCCCTGCTGGAGCTGAATGGAACTTTACCTAGTAAGCCGCTGCCACATGACAATATACAGATTAATGGAGATGGGTTAAATTAATATGTAAAAGTTAGCCAATAAGAAGCTAGAGCTAATGGGCTAAGCAGTGATTTAAATAATATAGTTTGTCTGATTATTTCAGGGCCCTTCTTACTACATCTCTGTGGGTTCAGGATCATGTCCCAGCTTCATTTATTATCAGAGTTGGAGCAGATCTGTCACCTCTCTTCTAGGATGGTAGTGTAGATTAGGCCCACCTGATGATGGAAAGCAGAGTTGAGATAACCCTTCTGGGGACTGGGAGTGGAGTAAGAAATGCTTCTTGCTACTAAGAAAAAGCTCCAGCTAAGCAGTGTAAGCAGGAAGCCCCAGAGGAGCCACAGTGAATGGAATCTGCAGCAGAGCCCACATGCTTTCCGTGAAGACTTTTCCTGTGGAAGCCTGGACATAAGAGGGACAGTTGAAGCTGCCCTTTTACCATGGCAGATCTCAAGTATATTGGGGAAGTGATTTCATCCAGATGACTGACTGTTTTATTATTGTAAAGCTCTCCCTGGAACTTAGAGAGACTGGAGGTGAGTCAGATAATACAAGTGTAGAGGAAGTAATTCTGTGGGTTCACAGACAGGTGCTGACAAACCAGGGCTTCTAAAAGCTCAGCAGCCAGAGATGTAGGGTAGAGGCTTTAGTTACTCTCTGCTGTAAGTCATTTTCTCTTTCTGAGATGACCCTGACACAGAAAGACCATCTGTAGACTGTAGACAGAGACTGCGCTTTAGTTTCCTGGTCACCCAGACCCGGATAATTTCACAGAAACTATATATATATATGTACAACACAGTTTGGCCAATGGCTTAGGCATATTCCTAGCTAGATCTTAGATGAACCCATTTCTATTAATCTATGTATTGCCATGAGTCTATGACTTACTTGTAATGTTCTGGCATCTTTCTCCTTCAGTGGACCCAGATTGGAAGCTGAAGATCAGCTTGCCTTAGCAGATGGGGGTGGGTGATGGGAGTGGCTTGTCTCTTAAAGGGACAGGACAGACCATTACATACCCATCTCTTTTTTAAATAAAAATGCAGGAGGTTAGGCACAACAGGTTAAAGGAATTAGGGCGGTAGATTCTCAAGAGTGCTTCCTGCTTATTTGTGGGTGTCATCTTGGGGGGGGGGGCTAAGAAAGCTGGGTGCTGGTCACATCCTGGGTAGATAGTCTCTTAATACTTTTTTAAGGTATTGGCAGAACAAAGAACAAAGTTAAGTTTAGGAAAAAAAATTAGGATCAGGAAATTGAGAGTGGTGTATCTGACCTGTTTAAGGTGGATACTTCAATTTGGCTCCCTGGAACTCACAAGAATTCTTTGGGTTTGTGAAAACAGAAGAATTTTACATCTAAATGTCAAATTTGAAGTGGAGAACTTCTAGAAGACACTTGAAACTAGGCCCCTTTGAGTTTGGCAACCTATGTAGTCCTTGGAATTTTTATCTAAGGTCCTGATGTATTGAGAAAGTAAGAGAACACCTTCTCTAAAACAGGGAAATTGCATGGTAGGGTCTTTGGCTGAGGGGTGGCATCAGATCCTGAGAACCCACGTTTTTCTACAGTTGGGGCTGTGGTTATCCATCCCAAGGCCACTGTGGACCTTGTTTATAATGCTCTTGAGTTACCCTGTGTTCCTCTCGTGCAAAATTGTCTAAGTAGCCTCCTTCTGAATTTGTAAAACTGAACCCATTGGTGTTGAATTTGGCACAAATCTCCAGCCAACCTGGATAGGTCTGTCCTAAAAGGGGAAGCCAGAGCTAGAACTACTGTGCATTGTGCCTTCAGCTCACCGTCCTGTCATTCAGGCCTCACTCTCCAATCAGAGCCTCTTGCGGACCCACCAGTCAGATAGATGGGAGGGTACTTCTGGGAGCCAGGCTTCTGGCTCAGCTTGTTTCCTGTGAAAGTCGGAAGTTGCCCTGTGTGTTGTGCCTTGGGCTCCACCGTGGGGAGAAAGCGGGTTAGCTTGGCAACTGCACCATGGTGAGTAAAAGAGCATGTTCTCCACAGATAGGGAGAAGTGGCTGGCCTTGGTGAGAAAGAGGCTGCTGTCTCTAGACTGTGTGGCGCGGCTGACTGAGCTGCGAGAGGTGGTGTGGTGAGTCCTCCCCTGGTTTGGTGGGAGTCTGGGGGTTAGACAGAGTTCGGCGTGTTCCTGCTGGTTCTGTGTGGTCCTGCGTGATCCTTGCAACTCCCTGGCCCAGGGAGGCAGCCCCTGAATAACCTCACTCCGCCGGCTGCATCTGCACACAGCACTGGGAGCAGGACTGTACTTAGAAATATCCTTGTTGTTGACGTCACTATGAAAGGCGCGCTGTAGTCCTTGTATTGTAAGTGTGGAAGGCAAATTTGCCAAGCTCGGAGAACCCTGGTCTCTAGCGTCTTCCAAAAGTTCTACAGTTTTAACATTTAACATTTAGGTTTCGGATCCGCCTGGAGTTAATTTTGTGGGGCTTGTAAACGATTATCTCCTGTGTAGAGTGTTAGGAAAAGACGAGCAGCTCCGCCGGCGCCAAGAAATCCAATCAGGTCAAATCAAACCAAATTAAAACGCCCGTGTTTTATTAAATGCACACTCTCGGGTGGCCGAGAGCACGAGCAAAATCCGGGACCCACGTGTTCTTCCTCTGGGCGCCCACGTAAATACCCGGTGGGAGTGGTCCTGAACCCTCCCTGGAATGCTGGGATTTGGAGTCCAGACCAACGCAACTCCTAGGCCTGGGGGCTGGGATGGATATCAAGGGCTGGGATGACGCTCCCAATTTAACATCACATAGAGTCTAGACTGTGATGTAGAAGAGTAGAATTAATTGTAATAGAATTGATGGTATAAGGATTTACCCGTTCTTAGGAGAACTTAAGTCACAAAGTAGAATTTAGGTAAGGGCGGGCTCCATCCCAAATACCCCTAAGATAAGTAGTACACTAACCATGCCTGTTAGAGAATGGTATGGGAAGATGGAAAGTTTGTTAAACAGTAATTTTTTTTTTGTTAAACAGTATTAATCACCTTTAGAGCTGAATTCCCATAACAAGGGAGACAACCCTGATTTACAGTCAGCAGAAAGGCCCATCCCTTTGTTAAAAGACAGGCCTCTAAATGCTGTCAAGGGGCCATTCCAGGTACAGTCAACATTATGTCCTGGTGCGCCATGAAGGTATACTAATTCTAGAACAGCTGCATCTCTAGTCTTTTTGAAAATCATTTAGAGTCAAGGTCTTTCATATTGATTGAGGTGGACTTGAACCCTGTCTGTAGTCCTACAGGGCATTGCCCTTGGCTCTCCTCCCAACTGACCACCCTCAATTCTTAGGTAACAGGTCTGCAGCACCACAGTTCTAAAGTTACCAGTTTGAGTTGCATAGTGGGCTATCCATTGCAGTAACAGGAAAAGGATTTGACCGTGGAGCATGGCTTCTCCCTGTAGAATGAAAGAAGATCAGTGTGCTGTGTACACTGCAGGGGGAAACCGACTAGACAATAGCTTGATCACAGACTGAAGCTGCAGGGGTCTTCATCATAAAGAATGACCTGAAAGGGCAGGGTGAACAACATTCTGTGTAATTTCCCAGCATGCATTAATTTCTTCCATGTGAATGAAGACAGACAGAATTAATGGGTGTACAATTTAGGGAGGGTAGCTTGAACTATTGAATGTTCAGTTTCTAATTGTGGAACTCTCTTATGCAGATGTGTGCAATCCTGGTTGACACAGTAAGTTAGCTCAGAGGTTTGAGACACAGGCCATTGGCTGGAAATCTGTGTTAGCTTATAGCACTCAGCAGCTAACATTTTACATGGGACAAAGTCATACAGTCTCTTATTAATGGCATTCATTAATGCTGGGAACAATATGACTTCACTGGGGGACAAGGCCTGAGAAAAACATGAATAAGTTTTCCTTTTGGCAAGGCCAAAGAGAATTTAAAACATTTTTGATAAGGCCAATATATAGTTTGCTGTCTAATTCTGGGCATGACTCCAGGAGCATATTGCTACCTGCTCTCCTTGCTTTCCTTACAAAAAATTATTGTTGATTGCCTTTAGTGTCACTTTCTTAGAGCGATAGATGAAATGAGTATTTTATTAGGAAAACTTTCCCCTGATGATTCTTCTCTGGGTGAGCCAGAGGGGATGTTGTTAAAAATATACAGTGGATCTGATTCAGCTCTTAAAGCCTTTGTTGTTTGAAGTATTACCTTGAATTCAGGATTCTCAAGAACAGGATGCTGCCTTTCCAAAGCACCTTGTAAGTAGTCTGAAAGAGTCACAGTAGTTCAAGACATGACATATTTGCATGATTGTCCTTGAGAGAATGATTCTAACCACAGGAGTCTAAGAGTAATGCAAAAGAATAAATGATATCAAGAGTTAATAGGAATAATTTAAGAACAAGGAATGAAGTAGTATCATAGAAAACCACAATGCCCTAATTTCTCTGTGTCAATACTGCAGGAGCCAGTGTTGTAGGAAGCTGAGAGGAAGGGGATATGAGAACGAGGAATACCAGCAGTGCCAACTATTAAGAGCAAACTTTTTAGTTATGTAGCTAAAAGGATGATAGGAGGAAGCCTGGTATGTCCCTTATAGGAGACAGCATAGTATTCAATATAGACTGAGGTTATTCAGCCTTGACTGAGTTGATTTTAGATTTGATTAGAGCTGAAATTCTCTTTTACTTTGCATCATGATGTAACTGCAAATGTTGCCAACTGGACACACTGTTCCACCAGTAGGTGTGCCTAGTTAGTAAATACCTATACTCCTCAAGGTGTTCCACATAATATAAACAGAAGGAACATTGCCAAACTCCTTTTATGAGATTAGTTACCCAGATACTGAAACCACACAAAGACTCAACCAAGAAAGAGAATTACAGATCAATCTCTCTCATGATCATAGATGCAAATGTATTCAATAAAATAGTGGCAAACTGAATCCAAGAACACATCATCTGTGGTCTCTATGTCTACATAACACTTGACCAGGACCTTTTCTAGCTTTCATTGTTTCCACCGAGAAGTCAGGTGTAATTCTAATAGGTTTGCCTTTATATGCTACTTGGACATTTTCCTTTTCAGTTCTTAATATTCTTTATTATGTACGTTTATTGTTTTGATAATTATGTGACAAGGGGACATTATTTTGGTCCAGTCTGTTTGGTGTTCTGTAAGCTTCTTTTACCTTCATAGGCATATCCTTCTTTAGGTTTTCTTCTATGATTTTGTTGAGTATATTTTTCTGGGCATTTAAGTTGGACTTTTTCTCCTTTTATCCCTGTTATTCTTAAGTTTGGTGTTCTAGATTTTCTTTGACCTATGAATCTATTTCCTCTATTGTGTCTTCAGTACCTTAGATTCTTTCTTCCATCTCTTGTATTCTGCTGTTTATGCTTGCATTTGTGGTTCCTGATCATTTACCCATAATTTCCATTTCCAGAATTCCCTCGGTTTGTGTTTTCTTTATTGTTTCTATTTTGGTTTTCAAGTCTTGAATCATTTTTTTTTCATCTGTTTGATTGCTTTTTCTTGGTTTTCTCTAAGGATTTTGTTGATTTATTCCAATTTTTTGTTTGTCTTTCCCCCCACTTCTTTGAGGGAATTTTTCATTTCCTCTTTAAGGGCCTGAAACATTTTCCTAAAGTTATTTTTCGGGCATTTTCTGCTTCTTCTGTGTTGAGGTGTTCAAGTCTTGCTGCTGTTAGAGCCACTGATTTTTTTCATGGTGCTGTGTTCCCCTTTGTGTTGTTCAGTGTGTTGTCTACCCATCTTTTCCTCCAATTGGTGTAGTTGGGGTTGTGTCTCTGGTGGTCAGTCTTCCGCGTGCCAGTGAATCCTAGGCTCAGATGGTCTCTCCTTGTGGTGGAGTTAGGGCTATGGTTCCAGTCACAACAGATGTTGCTCAATGGCAGAGCAGAGGTTAGGGGCAGGTAGGTGGGCCTTCCTTGCCTACTGGCTTCAGTGGAAGTTGGGCGTGGGTGGGCAGGCCTTCCTTGTGTGCTGGCTTTGGTGGAGGTCAGGAGTGGGTGGGCCTTCCTTACCTGCTAACTCTAGCAGTGGTTGGGTATGGGCGGGCCGTCCTTGTCTCCTGGCACTGGTGGAGTTCGGGCATGGGCAGGCTGCTGGGTCATCTTTGCTTGCTGGCTCCAGCAGAGGTCAGGAATGGGCGGGCCTCCCTTGCTTGCTGGCTCAGGTGGTGGTTAGTCATGGACAACCAGGCTTTCCTTGCCTGCTAGATCTGGCTAAGGTTGGACATAGCAGGAGGGCCTTCCTTGTCTGCTGACTCTTCCAGAGGTCGGGTGTGGACAGGCTAGTGGGACTTTGCCTGGTGGATCTGGCAGAGGTCCCCAATGTAGTCTTGACCTCCAAAAATAGCAATCCTGCCTCCAGGAATCTCAGAATGAGACTCCAAATCTGTCTTTATAAAGCTCTCATAAGCCCTTTTGTCTGCCTTTCCTCTGGGGTTTCCCTATTATTTTTCAGCAGCCACCATGAGTTCAGCCAACCTCTTACCTTTAAAACCTTCTAGTCTCTGCAACTTATGGTGAATATCTGGTGCTGACTGGTTGACAAAAGCTGGGCTGACTACAGACCAATTCTCTGGTGCTTCCAGATTCCAGGGTGTATAGGTGTTATAAACTTCTGTCCCCCTCTCAGGGAATGCTGCTGTTTCTTCAGGCCCTGGCATACCTGACTAACTTTGGACAGAAACCCCCATTAGAGTCTGGAGGTGGACTTTCAGCCTCTCCCTACATTTTTCTATGTAGAATCCCAACTGAGTCATATCACAGAAAACCCAACATTTATGAGATCTGATTTGGTGGCCAGTCTTCCATCTGGGCCTGGAACCAATTTCTAAGCTTCTGTTCTAATCCTGTCTCTCTCCTCAGTAGTGAAGAGGACTTGGAGCAGTTGAAAACAATCATCCCAAGTTGGTTGGTGAGTGAAAAGAACTGAATACAACAGGTTCAGTGAGCCTTGCTGGCTTCTCAGAAAACTTAAGATTTTATAATTTCCAGTTATAAAGGTTGCTGGTGACCAAGGGCTGGTGACTAGATGTTGCCTGTCCCCATCATCAGGTTGGTCCACAGCATGCAATGGAAGGGCCACGGAATTCTCCCCAGCTGGTCACTCCTCCTTTTGAGAATGGGTGTGTATGTGGGGAGCTCCTCCATCCCACCCCCTCTGCCTTCCCATACCTCTCATCCTGGGGTACCTGGGGGTAAAGTGGTGGGATAGAAAAGCACCCTTTCTCCCTGTTGCCTGGAGAAAGAAAGGGTACAGGGGCGTGGTAGGCAGTGGTCTATCCCCCTCTCTCCTTTAAAGAGAATGACCCCATTCCTAACACAAACATTTTGTAGTGAATCATCAGCTTTTTTTTTAAAAAATAAAATGAACGAGAATTAACATAACATGGCCAAATCTCATACCTCCTCTGGCCTTTTACAACTTACTATACATCCTCAGGTTCCTATCTCTGTTCAGACAGCCTTATCTTTTATTTCTCTTCTCCTTATTATTTTAGTCTCTTGCCTTTTCTCTTACTTTCTAGACATGAAAACTTTTTATCAAAGTTCTTCTTGTGGTTTCCTTTAGTAGTCTAGAATATTGTATGCCTTTAATATTTAAACAAGAATAGCATTCGGGAGGCAGAGGCAGGCGGATCTCTGCGAGTTCGAGACCAGCCTGGTCTACAAGAGCTAGTTCCAGGACAGGCTCCAAAAACCACAGAGAAACCCTGTCTCGAAAAACCACAAAAAAAAAAAAGAACAGAATCATACATATACCAAAGCAGAAATAACTCTAAATTTGCATCATCACAGTAAAACTTGTACCATGAGAAACATCTAAGACTAGCAGTAGGGTTTTCTTTTTCACCCTAACCAATGATAATCAGCTTCCCCAGCCACCACAGTGATCAGCCATTGGTTCTCTGTTAGGCACCCAAAGTCCTGCCATGTCCTTATCAAGAATGCTTTCACCCCCTCCAGATAATGAGCCCTAAGTCACTGACTTGGGTTTGAAAGTCCTTGGAGCGGTCCAAAATAAGCCTCCAGGGAAGAAGTTGAGTTTGACTGACCCACTCCTAAGAGAAGTAAATGAGGTAACATTACAAACAACAGAAAAACACAAAAATAACACTGACAGAAATATATCAGCACAGCACTTAAGAAAGAAACCAGGAACCAAAGCAGGCTGATGGCATGTCTCCCTGGGGAGTTCTGTTTTGGAACAGGTGTGACCTGTGTTCCCTGTTCAACCAAAGGGACCCTCTGTCCCATCCAGGTGGGCCCAGGACATCTCCCAGCCCACGTGGCCTCTAATGCATCCATCAGTCAAAACCCCAGCCTACAGATTCAGTTAGTTTGAGCCACCCAGATGGGAAAAAAAAAACCAGACCCAGACACAGAGGGCTCACTTCACTTACCAGCCAGCCAGGTTATCAGACGCTCATCATGGTGGGGTTCTCTGGGGAACTTTATGGACAATGCACCAATTGTTAGGGTCTGAGAGAAGCCTCCAAGGAAAGACCAACAGCCATGTATGTGATAACAAGAGTGCTTTATTGGTTCCAATGTAGCACTTGGTGGCCACTAAAAAAGGTCACAAGCTCCTTTAAGCAGAGTTTGGGAAATTTCAGGGAGGAGAGACTAATCTGTGACTGATTGGTGGAGGAAAGATTAGTCTGGGGTCTGATTGGTTAGAGGGAGGTCCTAGTGCTTAGGGACCTTCTAGCAGCAGGGTAGGGAAAGCTATCTTTAGTTATCAGGAGACTGGGGGTCATGTGCTGAGCCAGCAGAAGGGGCCATGGGGTGACTGCTGAGCTAGCAGAAGACTGGGATGCCTGCTCCTAAATTGTGGTTTTTCTGATGACTCTCTGTTTAGCTTTGTCCCATTTTAGTGAACCGAAACTAAGGCCTGATCTCTATTAGGGCTACTAGGAGAGCCTGTCTTGGCTCTGATCTACCTCCCCCCCCCAAGCTTTCTCACTGGTAATGATCTGGGGTCAGGGCTTTGTGGGAGGGGTTGATTCAGATCCTGATAATCCAACTCTTCCCATCACATGGAGCTATGGTTATCAGTCCCAAGGCCTCTGTGGGCTTGGTCAGTGATGTTATTAAGATACACTGTGTTCCCCTTTTACGGCATTATTTTATTAGTCCTCCCTGAATTTGTCCCATTGTATGGTAGTTTCTTTTGCAGCCTGGGAGAGTTCAGCTCTCAGGGCTGCACCCAGGGTCACTAAGAAAATACTTTTTAGAGTAGCAGGGCTTAAAACGATTTCCTATTTAAGAAGATTCATACAATCTGAGGATCATTCCCTTTTATTCTTCTTCAGCTCTAGTTCTCTTCATTGTTTTATTCTCCTTGTTCTCTTTATTCCATTCTGCTCCAATTCTCCACAGCTTATTTCAACAACAAACTTTCTGCAATAAAAAAATTACAAAAACTGAGGGGAGTGAGTAACCATGGCAGTGCCTGAGCTCAAGGTCCCTAGTTTCCCATCCTGAACCTGGGGCCACATTGCCTTGTGAGACACGCTGCTGAGGAATTCATACAGGGAGTGATTGTGGTCTTTATCAGCTAGACTTTTAGTAAGCAAAGAATTGTCATAGTACTTTAGATTGCTTTGTATTAATAGCCTTGGTTAGACATCTACGACTGTCCTTTTTCATGTTTTAAATTATGATGTGTATACAAACCCATTCAGTCTAGTTTGAAATTGCTCTGAGGTTTCATATCAGCTAAATGTGTGTAGCCTGTCTTAGACTGGGGGAAATTGTTGTTTTCTTATGTTATTCTGAGTGAAAAAAAAAAACAGTCCTTATGGGACAATAGATCAGTTATGAAGCATATCCTAGCATATTTCTGTTCTTCAAAATTATACAGTTAATGAGAAGTCATCTTCCTGACTATCCATGGATATATGTGTTCACAAGATTGAGATATAATCATGAGATTACATATACATATCATATGAGATACACATTATAGTGCAGATATTGGGGAGATACCACAGTTGTTTCTGCACATGTGGAATTACAGAGAAACAACAGTTTCCAGAGTCAGTAGTTCCATAAGCCTTGCTTGAACTAGGTTCTCCTCCATCAGAGAATTATTCATCTGGTGGGTTGACATCAGAATTATCAATTGCTATCTGCTGCATTTGCATCCTGGCCCACAATAGCTCATGACAGTTTCTGCTGACTTCATAAAAATCTCCCATTTCTTTCCATCCCCCCCTAGAAGTAGTATACACGATATTACTGTTTTTAAGAAGCTTACTTGGTAAGAGGCATAGCTTGTACAGGACCATTTCACCCCAGCCTTTATCTTTTCTACCTTCTCCATTTCCTATCTTTCTCATTTCTGGCACCTCCACCTCAGGACCCTGTCACTGGAGAATAGCCTGTTATTTTATGTCACTGTTATACTTAAGAAATAATTCTGGGAATATCTTTGCTGTGTAAATCTTCCATGTGCTAAGTTCCTGTCCCTATTTAAATTGTTCAAAGTGTAACCTGGATCCTGAACCTAAAATAAGAATGACAGGAAGTTTGTAATGCAAAGTCTGTTCTAAGCTGGCTCCTCTTTGAGCATTAGAGTAAGGTGAAGAAGCATACTAGTACTAAAGCAGTTTTCTTTATTAAACTCTTAAGTGTGTAGAGTGATTTCTTCTTGGGAAGGCATATTAATTCTAGAACATCTGCACTTCCAGCCTTTTAGAAAAATATTTCTGAAACAAGCTCTCCTATGTTGTTGACTCCAGTAGCCTTGATCCCAGTCTGTTGCTCTCCAGGTCATTGACCTTGCTATCCTCTATAGTACACTTCCTAAATTCTTAAATGACTGTACTACCTTGGAATTTTCAAATTTTTAAATTATTAACTACCTATTGCAGTCACAGAAAAAGATTTCCATGAGGAGCATGGCTTCTGCCTTCACACTAGAATAGGGAAAATAGTTCATGGTGTACACTGCAGAGGGGAAACAAGGTCAACAATTAGCTGCTAGAGTCACAATTATGAAAAAGGACTTGATTGTGGCAGGGGGAGTAGTTTTGTAATTTCCAAGCGTGTATTAATTCACGTCCTGTGAATGAAGGCAGACCAAATTGGTAGTTTTTCCACATTGAGAAGGTTAGCTTGAGCCAAATAAAGATCTTCTAATTAGGGAACTTTTCCTTCCTTCTCTCTCTCTCTCTCTCTCTCTCTCTCTCTCTCTCTCTCTTTCTTAAGCATACAATGTACTGCTGGCAAGGAAGGCACCAGGTCTCATTACAGATGGTTGTGAGCCACCATGTGCTTGCTGGGAATTGAACTCGGAACCTCTGGAAGAGCAGCCATTGCTCTTACCCTCTGAGCCATCTCTCCAGCCCTAGGGAACTTTTCTGTGCAAATATGTTCAGTCTTGCTTGTCACAAAGATTGGTAAACAGAACTTTGACTGTTACTCGGTCAGGTTACAGATTTCAGCAGCCAACATCTATCAATCTCTTATTAATGGCATTCCCTCTACTAGGCAAAGGACTACTCTTTTTCTAAGTCAATATAGCTAAGTTTTTTATCTTAAAAATGAATCATTTTCACCATTTAAAAATGCCAATTACTGGCATCATGTTTGAAAATTTCATTTTTTTTAATTGCATTACTGTGCTAATCTCTATTTGTTTCTGTTCTCCAGTGTTTCTCTGTCGTTAGGAATTTCATTTCATTTTCTCAAGTACTATTGATTTATTTCTGTTTAGAGCAATGCCTTCTCAATCCCAGGCTTGCACCACACTGTCAAGTTGATAATTGACTTGAATACTTACTCCTTCCTCTGCTGTCCAGTGCTGGGAAGACAGTTCTGCAGCTCCTTCCAGGCTGGGCCTTGACTGGTAAGTAAGAAAGAAACATAGACCAGTTAATGTGTGTCCTGCAACATCTCTGGCTTTTATTTGGGAAAATGAAGAGTGACCTGTTCAAGAATTGAGTTCAATGACCAACTTTGAAGCTGATGTAGTCACAGTGCAGAAAGGGAGGGATAGGATGGAGGTTGAAAGCTTTCCTGCTTTGCAGTAGTTGATGTTAGCAATGTGGATCAGGTAGTCAGGTTTAGATAATCAACAAATATCCTGACTGACCATTTACTGGTGTTCACAGATGAGGGCAATCAAGAATCAGGATAAAATCTGACCCTGTCAAATTACTATAGTTACACTTGTTCAAGTAGACTAGAAGATCTGGCTAAATTATGTGGCTATGATTTGAGATGCACATCCTGGGAGCAAAGGTTGAGTAACCCATCATGTGCTCTCTTTCAAATCCCTAGTCTCTGGAGAACATGGTCATAAAGCCTGTTTCAACTTTTCAAAATAATTCTTTGAGATTATAACTACATCATATATAGTTTCTTTCCTGCCTCTAAGCCCTACCATGACCCTCATTGTTTTCTAACTCATGGCCTCTTTTTGCTTTAACAATTAGTTACACAGTAACAACAGTTACTGTTAGAGGGTGACTTGTGTTTGGCTGCACTGGACATTGAGTGTGTAATGGAAGGTGTACAAGACTGGAAGAATTTCTACTAAATTACAAATTTCCTAGACCATCCCCCTGTCTGCGTCTAGGAAGGGGAGAAAAGGAGTTTCTGAGCTGCAGAGATTTTTCTGTTATGCTTGGTGTTAGTTGGGTGGATAAAATAGATTCCACAACTTGTACCATAATCTATGTTGCAGGAAATAGACATTAGATTATTCTTTGACATTGTTTAGTGTGTAGGGCATCTTTGAGACTGAGTTTATCTGAAACCTCAAGGGGCATGAGAGTTTTCAGAGCCATAGCAGGAGATTACCTCCATTTGTAGAGTGGGCTCTAGAACATGGGCTTCTCTTTGGAAGAAATATCTGTAGCTGGAGAGTCAGAAACATAACAAATTTAGTGTCTGTTTGAGTTAATTTGGTAGGTGTTATAAAGTCTGTTTATTTAGTTTTTTTTTTATTGCGAAAAGAAGAAAAAAAACATAAACAAAAAACAAGTTTCCACCTCCTCCCAGCCTCCCATTTCCCTTCCCCTCCTCCCACCCTTCTCCCCCTCCTCCCACCCTTCACCCCCTCCTCCCACCCTTCTCCCCCTCCCCCCATTCCCCTCCCCCTCCCTCTCCAGTCCACAGAGCAGTCCGGGTTCCCTGCCCTGTGTTAAGTCCTAGGTCCTCTCCGTCCATATCTAGGAAGGTGAACATCCAAACTGGCTAGGCTCCCACAAAGCCAGCACATTAAGTAGGATCAAAACCCCCTGCCATTGTCCTTGGTGTCTCATCAGCCCTCATTGTTCGCCATGTTCAGAGAGTCCGGTTTTATCCCATGCTTTTTCGGTCACAGTCCAGCTGGCCTTGGTGAGCTCCCCGTAGATCAGCTCCTCTGTCTCAGTGGGTGGATGCACGCCTCGTGGTCCCGAATTCTTTGCTCATGTTCTCCCTCCTTCTGCTCCTCCTCGGGACCTTGGGAGCTCAGTCCAGTGCTCCTGTGTGGGTCACTGTCTCGATCTCTATCCATCACCAGATGAAGATTCTATGATGATATGCAAGATATTCGTCAGTATTGCTCTAGGATAGGGTCATTTCAGGTTCCCAATCCTCAGCTGCCCAAGGAACTAACTGGGAACCTCATCTTGGGCACTAGGGAGCCCCTCTAGGGTCAAGTCGCTTGCCCACCCTAAAGTGGCTCCCTTAACTAAGAATTGTGGTTCCGTGTTCCCCTATCCACCTTTCCTTTATCCCAATTCTCCCGTTTCCCAGGTCCCCCCTCCTTCCCTTCTACCTTTTCTCTCCCCATCTCCCCTTACCCCCATCCCACCCCCCCCAAGATCCCATTTTCTCCCCGGAAATTTGGTCTACTTCCCTTAGCGAAGAGGACGACTATATGTTTTTCCTTCGGTTCACCTTCTTCCTTAGCTTCTTTAGGTTCACCTATTGTAGACTCCGTGGTCCTTATTTATGGCTAGAAACCAATTATGAGTGAGTACATCCCATGTTCATCTTTTTGGCTCTGGGATACCTCACTCAGGATAGTGTTTTCTATTAAGGTGAACCAAAGGAAAAGCATATAGTTGTCCTCTTGGCTATGGGAAGTAGACAAAATTGCCGGGGAGAAAATTGAGATCTTGGGGGTGGGGTGGGATGGGGGTAAGGGGAGATGGGGAGAGAGGGGGGAGAGGGGGAGAATGGGGGGGAGCTTGGGAAAGGGGGAGGATTGGGATGAAGGAAGGTTGGATGGGGGAGCACGGAAGCACGGTTCTTAGTTAAGGGAGCCACCTTAGGGTTGGCAAGAGACTTGAACCTAGAGTGGCTCCCAGATACCCAAGCCGAGGTCCCCAGTTAGTTCCTTGGGCAGCTGAGGATGGGGAACCTGAAATGACCCTATCCTAGAGCAATAATGACGAATATCTTGCATATCATCATAGAACCTTCATCTGGTGATGGATGGAGACAGAGACAGAGACCCACACTGGAGCACTGGACTGAGCTCCCAAGGTCCCGATGAGGAGCAGAAGGAGGGAGAACATGAGCAAAGAAGTCGGGACCACGAGGGGTGCACCCACCCACTGAGACAGTGGAGCTGATCTATTGGGAGCTCACCAAGGCCAGCTGGACTGTGACTGAAAAAGCATGGGATAAAACTGGACTCTCTGAGCATGGCCAACAATGAGGGCTGATGAGAACCCAAGGACAATGGCACGGGGTTTTGAACCTACGTAATGTGCTGGCTTTGTGGGAGCCTAGCCAGTTTGGATGTTCACCTTCCTAGAAATGCACGGAGGGGGGAGGACCTAGGACTTACCACAGGGCAGGGAAATCTGACTGCTCTTTGGGCTGGAGAGGGAGGGGGAGAGGAGTGGGGGGAGGGGGAGAAGGGTGGGAGGAGGGGGAGGGAAATGGGAGGCTGGCTGGAGGAGGAAATTTTTTTTTCTCTTTTCTCAATAAAAAAAAAGTTAAAAAAAAAAGAATGAGAATGAAAAAGAAACATGCAATTTAACTGTCGTCCAGCAGATGGCGCTGTTTAATTTGCATCCTGACAATTCCTGTTTTCAAATATGCTCTGCTATTTTTGGTCGTACTGGCAAAAACGAGTCAATTGAGAGGTCAGATGGACACAGAGATAAAATCCATAGGCCAGGCACAGAGCACCAAAAGTCAGAGTTTCTAGTGGCCAATGGACAAGGCACAGCCACTGCACTGCTGATAAATAGGCCGAGTGCTGTGGGCCCTGTGTCCCTGTATTGTGATTAAGTGTCGCAGTGCTTGCGATCAGTTGCGGCATTTTTTGCTAAATTGGTTTTTATCTTTGGCAACCGCTAGCGCTTGAGCTCTTTGACTCACCTTGTAGGGGGAAACCAAAAAACCTGATCAGTGTAGATCAAATTTTTCCTGGAAAGGACATTCCATACCTGTGGGTCCTCGGAGGCGTGGAGGTTACTTTATATATATATATATATATATATATATATATATATATATATATATATATTTAAAAAATGCTGCAAGATCCCCTGCGGAAATGCTGTAGGTTACAAATGGTGATGGCGGGCCATGTGGCAGTAGACAGTGTGCCCTGGGAATAGCCAGTCCCAGGCAGAGATGGCTGCAGGTCCCAGAGCAGTGACCTAAGCAGTGGTTGCAGGGCATGTGGTGGCAGGCACTTGGCTGTGAGAGCAGCCAGTCGCAGGCAGAGGTGCATGTCTGTCCTTGAGCAGTGGCTGGTACCAGGCAGGTATACACATGGCAGCTGGGCAGGAGACAGACATGTATATTTGAAATGGAATGGATTTGAGTTGCTTTACATTTACTTTGAAATCTGCTGTTGATTTGCTGTATGTTGCTTTTTTATATTTAGATATGATCCTTGTAACCCTACCCTCTTCAAGACCTTTATCATAAAGGAGTGTTGAGCTTTGTCAAATGATTTTCCATCATCTACTGAAAGGATCATATGGTTTCTTTTTCTTTCAGTGTATTTATATGATAGATTTGATTGATAGATTTCCATGTGTTGAACCAGCCCTGCATCTGTGGGATACAGCCTCCTATTATTTTTTTGGTGCCTTCTTGTATTACGTTTTTCAGGATTTTATTAGGAATTTTTTCATCGATGTTCATGAGCGAGATTGGTCTGGGATTCTGTCTTGGTGGATTTTTTTCTTTTTTTCTTTTTGGTATCATGGTAACACTGTTGCTTCATAGAAAGCTTTGCAATGACTCTTCTGTTTCTATTATGTGACACACATTAAGGAGTTTAGGTATCGGCTCGTCTTGGAATTTCTGGTAAAATTCTGTATTAAAACTACTTGGTGCTGTGCTTTCCTTGGTTTGCAGGTTTTTTACGAATGTTTATATTTCCTCACCGCTTCACAGTCTATTTACATTGTTTCCCTTGTCTTACTGATTTTTGGTATATGTTATTTATCTAAAAACAAGTACATTTACTTTACATTCTCCAACTTTGTGGCATATAGGTCTTTGTATTAAGATATAATTATTTCTGAATATCCTCAGTGTCTGTTATGTCCCCCATTTCATTTCTTATCCTGTTAATTTGCGTGTTCTCTTTATGTACCTTTTTATTGCATTGGATAGCCCTTGTGAATCTTGTTTTCAATCAAATAACCATTTCTTTGTTTCATTGATTTCTTTGGATTGTTTCCTGTGTTTATATTTTGTTTGTTTCAGTCCTCCGTTTGATAATTTCCAGCCTTCTACTCCTGGGTCAGGATGCTTTTTTTTCTATAGCTTTTATCTGTGCTGTTAGGTGTCTAATGTGAGATTTTTCTGTTTTTGTAATGTGGCCACTTAGTGCGATGAATTTTCCTCTTAGTGCCGCT